GGGCTTTCCTTGTTTGAGGAGCTCACGCACCTGGAGGCAAGATCCCGCGCGATGTGACAGAATCAACGAACACGGCGCAGCACATCTCTGTCGCCCTGCTACGATCCGCTTGCAAAACGCACACTGCGCATTTGCCACCTTGTAAGTTCCTAGTAGTACCAGCATGTGGCAGCTCTCCAGGTGAGGTGTGCCTCCGCAGCCGAGAGCTTCTCGACCCCCTTTGCAGAGACAGACGTCAAACAGCTGTTGTACTGTACTCTGGTCGCGGCCGTCCTTCTGCAGGGGCACTTCGAAGTTCGGCCCAACCAAACCGGTGCAAGCCGCTGCAGCCGGCCTGTGCAGAGGCCGGCTCTGTCCGTGATGATTTTGTGCTCAGCAAGAAGCTGGCGCCGCTTCTACAGTAGGACAGAAATCAATATCTTGCCACTGATAAAGATCCCACAGAGCTGAGATGTTGGAGTTCGAAGTATCCGTTTGCAGCCTTCAGGCTGCTTGCAAGTGTCTCTGGCACAATCTGTCTTTTACTAGATTGATTGTCTGTCGATGCCTCTGATCCTCTTGAATTCAGTGAACACTACGGTCGCTAGCATGCTGCTTTCCCGCGACTGCAACGCAAGGCAACGTACGAGGATGAAGAGGGCCATGCAGCATGGAGATCGTGTCTTCCTGCCGGGCCTCGGTGCAGCAACGACGGTTTTCGTCGTCTGCACCTCGACATCTCGGAGACTGGGAAAAAGGAAAAAGCCGTGGACTGACAGCATGTCCATGCAGCCGAGGAGGACCCGGATCTTCTCAGTTTCTGGCCATGGGCGTGTGCACGAGCTCCTGACAGGCTGGCTTGGAAGCAGGATCAGGAACGAAAGGATCCCGTCAACCGGCATGGGGAAGTCCTTTGTCCGCGGGCCAGGCACCACGGGCCTGCTTCGATTTCAAAGGCAGCTTAACGCATTTCTGCACGGGCGATGTTAAAATTGCCCCACCACCGCAAGATGCACGGAGCTGGGCCTGGGTGCAGAGACGACGGTCTTCGTCGACTGCACCTTGACATTGCCAAGGATGGGAAAAAGGAAAGCCGTGACAGCGAGCTAGCACAGCCGAGGAGGACCGGAACTCACACCCTTTCAAACACCAATGCCAATGCCCCGATCTTCTCAGTTCCTGGCCACGGAAGCATGCTCCTGAGGAACACGCTCGGGAAGCGGACGGAAGCAGGCAACACAGAGGACTACAGGCAGGGCTGTCCATCTTCGCCGGGCCAGCGGCCAACGACCTGCTTCAAAGTCACATATGCATCTGGCAGAGCTTTCGAGTGACAGCTACAACCCAGGTCAAGTCATGAATCCATGCCGCAAGGGTGAGCTGCGAGCCTGGTGGCAAAGGCCACTGGTCGAGCCAAGGGCACATTGGCCTCAGATTTCAGCACTCCGGTCCCGCCCTGAATAGCCAACCGCCTGCATGTTCGCACAGAGGCAGCGCGACGCTGACTGCGAGCTTTCGCACCCTGAGGTCCGCACAGCCTTGGCCGGAAAATTTGGCCGAAGGGACTGCACAGGATACACGGACTGAGTCAAGTATTCCGCTGGCAAAACGGGCTCGAGCGAAAGCTTAGGAAAGCCAGCCAGGTGGGCCAGACAGCTCCCGGATACCGGCGGCACCACCAGCCGCGGCATGATGCAGATCCTCGCTCAACGCATCTCCCAAAGCAGGCAGTCAGCTCCGCGACATTCCGCCACAATGGGGCCCTGATCCAAGGCAGGCACTGCCTCGCCGGCATGGTCACCACAGGAGGCGCCTCACAGACTCATGGAGATGAGATCTCTTCACCGTGGGAACTGCCCCTTGCACCAAGGCACAGCCGCTGGAGCCGGCACGCAGACGTATGAGACCTGAGCCCACGGATGAGGTGCAGGCATCCACACTTCGTGCACCCTCTCGGCTCTTCGCAAGAGCAGCCATCGCCGGGAGGCGCACGTTGGCTGCTGCTCGACTACGACTTGTGCCAAATTGCTGCCAAGGCCCGCATGCGTGCCATTGCACAAATGCTCCATGCTGACCTGAACAATAAGGCCTCCCTCGTTCATTTCAGGTTGGACTTGCACATAGTTGCCCCTTTGTCGTTTTTATGTCATGGCAAGCCAGTCCGCCAGCTCATGGGCCCTGTTTTTGGGCCATGGGCAAGCACGCCAAGTAGCCAATTGCATACCATTCGCCAGTCAGTGCCACACGAGAAACTTCTGGCCGCTGAAGCTGTAAGAGATACTTTCAGAACCCAATCATGCCCCCCCGTAGCCTAGATGGGACATTTGGTGCAATTCCTAAGCTCATCTCTCGAAGATGCTTTACGGACTTCCTTCGCCTTCGACAAGGAGATGCAGGACCCGAGCGAGCCGCATCTCTGCTGGCCCGTTTCGGCAGAGGCAGAGGCGGCTTAAGAATCCAGGACTGCTGCGGCTTCACGCGCCAGCACCTTCCGTCTGGCACGAACCACGTCGAAGCACAGCGATGAATTGTCGTTCAATTGCACCGAGACCCGGCCCGAGACCCGAGACCCTTGCCTGCCACTCGCCTGCCCATCGAGAGCGCATACGTGTCGGCCTTCGCCTGGCGCTCTAACTTCGACAAACAGGCCTGGACATGCCCAAGCCCGTCGGTCGCACTGCAGCAACGCACAATGTGCCACTCGACAATTAACATCCTCAAGCCTTCAGCTGTGTTTGCGCTGGCATGAGGTCTCAACACCGACCCAACCTGCCCAAGAGCATCCATCGGCTTCTCGTACACAACCTGCAGTCGCCCAGCAGACACTTGTCCCCATGCAGAACCCTCTGAAAAGCTCGGGCCAACAAGCGCTTAGACGGCCGTGAGATGCTGCGACATACCACTTGCGCGAACACTGCATCCTTCCCTTCATGCTGGCTGAGGCTCCCTGCAGGTAAACGTTCGCTTTCCCAGCCGCGGAAGCCTCCTTCTAGAATGGCCACGCGCCTTCCCGCAAACAGTCGATCGCATTCGGGGACGAGAGATGCCGAGGCTATGGTACGATACGATGCTGCGACAGGTGAGTGCTTCCTTCCGTTCCAACCATGCTGTATCGCTTCGTGTCTGCAGCACACTATCGGATCTGGAGCTTTCGGACTCTGCGCCATGCTACACTGCGTTCATGGCGTCAACCACAAAGCGTACGAAGTTCCGCCAGCTCGCTACGCCAACAATTTCGGAACACGATTGGTGTGCTACACCTCGGCGTTTACGATGCACTGCGTCGTTCTCGGCAGCTACACCATGCCGATCACCACACGCAAGCACACAGCTGGCAGAAATATGTTCAACAGAAGGATTCCCAGCAGAAGCTGGCACGACAGGAGATGTGAAGGAGACCGAGGCCCCAGCTGCGAGGACGGCGCCTGCTCGCGATACCAGTTTGCACACCTGCCGTGTCTTCTACGATCGGCTATCCTGCCCTCCAACAGCCCTCAAGCGTGAATGGTCTGCTGACAGAGACCGCACATGCCCAGACACTGGACTAACACGTCCGCCGAAAGCTGCAACACCAGTCTCGCCAAAATTCGAAGGCTCCAGTACAGGCCATAACAGCAGACTTGGCATCCAGCTGAGGGCCGCGGTGCAGGGAATATTGGCAGTGGAAAATCTCAGCAGACCAAGCATTGCACATAGACTCCAAACGGAACGCATCTGAAAGACGAAACGCCAAAGCTCCACAGCGCAACATGCGACCGGCACGGACCCTGAGCTGCCGGCTACGAGCTTCTCCTTCGAGAATTTTCCCACCAGCTGCGGCACCTCAGCACGACTGCTACACCCCATGTTTCCGGAGCACCCACTCCCTCTCTTGGCGGCCCGGCTCGGTTCAAAAGAGGCGCCTGGAAACTGGTGGGCTCGTGCACGGCGCCCTGGAGCCGCCGAGAGACGGGACACACGGACTCCCTCCAGACACCCAGTGCGAAACAAAAATCCGCGAAGCTCGCTGAACAGGCCTGGATGTGCCCGGAGGCACGATCATCGCCACGCACGTCGACGAGACAGCACCTCAGTGTCTTGCTTGAGTAGTCTTCACGTCCGCGAGGAGCCTTTGCCAGCTTCGCCAGGGGCTGGTGGCCCGGTTCTGAGGGGCAGGCAGCCCTGCCCTGAGCAGCTGGTGCACCTGGCAAGCTGCCACACGATCCCGGCTGCGATCTACTCGTACGTTCCTAGTACTACAAGTGGCAGCTCTCCAGGTGTGCCTCCGCAGCTGAGAGCTTCTCGACCCCCTTTGCAGAGACATAGACGCGACATCAAGAACAAAACAGCTGTTGTACTGCACCCCGGTCGCGGCCGTCCTTCTGCAGGGGTACTTCGAGATTCGGCCCCACCAAACCGCTGCAAGCCGCTGCCGCCGGCCTGTGCACAGGTCGGCTCTTTTTTGTCGTGGCTTGTGGTCAGCAAGAAGCTGGATCCGCATCTAGGACAGAAATCAAGATCTTGTCACTGGCCCAGTGGTGGTTCAGGGGTTGAAGTTCCAAGTTCGAACAGTTCCTTTCCAGCCTTCACTCTCACGCCCCAAAATCAATGCTTGCCCGGAGCGTCCGCGTTTTGCACCGCGGATGCATGGTAATGTTCCCAACTTAGGCTGGCTTCATGATCATCCATAGGCTACGTGCTCAGCGGGCCTCTGTCGCAGTCGCTAGCATCTTTCTTCTGAGCGACTGTCATGCAACATGGAGATCGAGACAGGCCTGGGTGCAGACACGAAGGTCTTCGCTGGCGTCTGCACCTGGACATCATGGAGAACGGGGAGCATGAAAGCTGTGGCGTCCTTCAAACTCCAATGGACGGATCTTCCGAGGTCCTGGCCATGGAGGTGTGCACGCGCTCCTGACAGGCTTGCGTGTCAAAACAGGCAGCTCACTCCGAAAGACTCCGGAAGCAGATGAAAGCAGGAATCGGAAGAACCGATCCCGTCAACCGGCATACTAGTGGGGCAGTCCTGGGTCTGCGGGCCGGCCACAAACGGCCTGCTTAGACTTCGAAGGCAGACATGGCAGACTGTGCGTGGGCGATGTCAATACTGCCAAAATTCCGCAAGATGCACGGAGTTCGAGCCAGTCCTCGGTGCGGACACGACGCTCTTCGTCGTCGTCTTCACCTCGACAGAGGATGGCCGGATGGCCGAGGAAGACGGGCACTAACTCCGTCAACCGGATCTTCTCAGTTCTTGGCCGTGCAGGCATAGATGCGCTCCTGAGGAACGCACTGGGGAAGCAGCTGGAATCAGACAAAACGTAGACAACAGGAGGCAGGGCGGTCCATCTTGGGCGGGCCAGTGGCCAACGACCTGCTTCAAATTCGAACACATCTGAATCTGGCAGAGCCTTCGAATGATAGCTGCCGCCCAGGCAACGTCATGGCATGCATGTCATGACTGCATACGTCTAACGCGAGAGATCGCGAGAGCCTCACAAAAGCCTACTCCAATCTGCAGGGCATCCCTCAGCCGAGAGTGTCCCCAAGCACCGTGCCACAAAAGAGCTGCGTGCCTGGTAGCAGCAGCCACCGGTCGCGCCAAGGGCACATTGGCCTCAGATCTCAGCGCTCAGCACCACGTTACTACGCTGCATGTCCGCACGGCAGCAGCACCATTACGCCAGCACGCTTGCACACGCTCTGGG